ATTTTTTTAAATATTTAATTTTTCATTAAAAACATTTTGTTTAAAGAAATTGTCCGATTTGTCCGGATTTTGGTGCCGCACCCTGTAGACGTCTTTTCGATATCCTTTAAGACAATGTTGTATGGAATAATTTCGCACAATTATAATGGGTGGCACTCAGTTGGACACGGCTCAATTGGACACGAGTCACTCACAGCGCTTGAGACTACAAAGCTCCTAAGCACTGGTCGCTGTGGTTGGTGGTGTCCAATCGATACGATAATTTCAATATCAATTTGACGTTGATTCGACGTTTAATTGACGATCATTTCTTGTTGGGTAATTAATAATTTATTCATAAAGAATAAATTAGACTGTATGTTTCTTAAAATTATATATACCAAGAAGATGTGTATTAATTATAGAAAATATAAGGATTTTTACATTGATAACAAGTAGAAAATTGTAGAAATAAAAAATCGAAAATGAGCAAGATTTCTAGCAGCAGCATACTTGACGCGCCCGTCTTGTTTATAATCGTAATTTAAAATAAAAATTGCTAAGACAGTCGTTCGCATCCTGACTTGTCAATAGTATGTAGATAACAATGACAATTAAAATTAATTACGATTTAATAAAAAAAATTTTTAATATTTTAATAAAATTAATGTTATAGTATAATTCATTCTAATTTATTCCAGTTTGGAAAGGATATTAGCATATAGACAATGTAATTTCGAAATATATTACAAAGAATACATATGAGTCCCAATTTCACGTATAACTCGTTTTTAAATCTATTTGATAATAAAGCCCCTAATCCGCAAATGAGTCGTGCATTGTTTCTAAAAAGTTTTATTAAGTAAGAAATATAATATTTAGATTTCTATTTTAATTAAAGACAATAATATTATGTCGAGCAATATGGTAACTGCTAATATTATTGTAATAATATATAAAATAATAAGTGGCTTAAAATTATAAAAGCAAATTAATAAAGAGCATACAGCCACAGCGACAGTTAGAATTAGCACAAAAATATATTTTATTTTCTATTACGTAAACGTTTCGGTCACCAAATGTATTACTATAATAACAATTTGAACATATATAAAATTTCTTTAATTAGCGAAAAATAGTTTATAATTATAATAAAATATTTATTAAATTATTTGCATGAATCGAATTATGGTATGAACAAGACGGGCGCGTCAAGTATGCTGCTGCTGGAGATCTTGCTCATTTTCGATTTTTTATTTCTACAATTTTCTACTTATTATCGATGTAAAAATCCCTTTTCAGTTTCCGCGCCTCTCATTATTATCTATCTATTGCATTTCGTTCTCTCATTAATGTGTTGTTATACTTACACTTCAAATGTCATCTGTACTTTGTGTAGTATGTATATTATAATTGTGAGAAATTATTCCATATAACACTGTTTTAAATATTGAAAAGACGTCTGCATCATATGAAAGCCTTCAAGATGTCGTTCAGAGAACTGTATTGTACGGGACTTTTCAAATAGAGATACTTGAAATATTATTTTGATTTCACTTTTTTTTTATGGCATTATTTTTGGTATCTTTTTTCTGCAAAATATACTTGATGCCTTTTTTTTACATTTTTAATGTCTTTTCCAACAGATTTCACGAATTTTTGCTAAGTATTATTTTCGTTATCATTTTCATATATTTACAAAATTGTTTGATTATGTAAAGATATTACAAAATATACTTGGTGCCTTTTTTTACATTTTTAATGTCTTCCGGTTGATTATCATTTTCTAGCTTAGTTAACAAATATCAGTATATAATTTCGGTTTCGTACAATCCCCTTTTGT